GGGGATTTCACCCCTGCTTCCCTCTGGTGACTGTATTATGGATGGGCAGACACGGGGATTTCACCCCTGCTTCCCTCTGGTGACTGTATTATGGACGGGCAGACACGGGGATTTCGCCCTGCTTCCCTCTGGTGACTGTATTACGGATGGGCATGTGGCATGCTGGGAAGAAAACTGGTCAAGGAATCGGGAGACTAGTCCTGTAGTAATCTTAGTCTGGGCATTGTTACTATGAATGAGTTGCTTCTTTTTCTTGGATCCCAGGGTCCCCTTCCCAAAAATGAGACATTCAAGACAGATAATGCCAGTTTTATTGTTCAAAAAAGAGTTATGGAGTATCTTTTGTGTGCCAGGCATTGTGGTAGGCACTATGGATAGGTCAGGCAGCCAGGCGGTCCTGGGCCCTAACTTCATGGAGCTCAGAGCCCATCATGGAAACAAGACATTGCAGGCATTGTATGAGGAAAAAGGCAAGTACTTGAAGGCTGTAAGGAGCTGGTTGGGTAAAGACATTGATGAAGAGGTTTCCAGCCTGAAGCAATTGCATATTTGAAGGCCCCAAGTCAACACATTATGGCATATTTGGGGGGCTGACAGGAGTCCGAGATGGCTGGAGTAAACAGAATGAAGGGAAAGAAGGATAACAAGTGAGGTTAGCAAAGAAGGCAGGAGTCAGATTCTGGGCAGCTTTGTAAAATCACGTTAAGGGGCTCTGACATTATCACAAAGTCAAGGACAAACCATGGGAGGATTTTCAGCCAGGATGATCCCATTCACGCTTATAAAAGGCCGTACTAGCTGATGTGTAGAGATGGATTAGAGAATGGTAGAAGTGGAGCCAAGAAAACCGTTCACACAGCCCGTGGGATAGTCCCGGTGAGACACCAGGGTGGCCTGGAGGAGGGTGGGGATGGTGGAGGTGGAATTAAAGCCACGTGGAAGGAGAGACCTGAGATGTAACTTAGTGTGACGACCTGAGGTGCAGGGGAGATGGGGTGGGCTCAGGATGGCCTGGGGATTGTGGTGGGAGTGATTAAGGAGATGTGTTGCCCTGTACAGACTGTGCCCAGTACTGAGATAGTGCTGGCATTGTGGGCAAAGGTGAAGACGGTGAGTTCAGATTTTAACACGCTTGAATCAAGATGCCTGTGAGCCCTCCCAACGGACATGTCATGGGCATGGCTGTAGGGCTGTTGACACATAAATAGCAAATGACTCCTTAGAGATGGAGCAGGTGGACAGAACAGAAGACCACTGTGTACCCCTGGGGAGAGGGGAAAGGGGACCAGCCAAGGAATTTGGAAAGAACCATTCAGACAGGTGGGCGGGAAATCAAGAAAGTATGTTAGCAGTGGAAGAATGTTCTAGCAAAGGGAGCGGCTGGAGCCAAGCATTGCAGAGGAGAAGCGGGCAGGAACTGAAAAGGCCTCTGGGTTCAGCCATGCCTCAGGTTGGCCAGAATGACCCAGGTGAGCATGACTTGGGTGGAATTCTGGGAAAGGAAGGAAGATCAACCTTGGTGAAGGAGGCAAGGGTGGGGGAGAAAATCGGGACCGTGGGGATACATACCTTGTATTGTGAGAGGCAATACCTGGAGGGGCTGGCAGGTGGAATGAGGGATTTTATGTTTAACATGAAACACTGTATAGCAGCATTGTTCGACAGAAGTAATGAGAGTTATACAAGTAATTCTGAATGTTCTCCTATCTACTTCAAAAAAGTAAAAAGAAACTTGTGAATTTAATTTTAATACCTTATATTTAACCACATACTATCATTTCCATAAGTAATCAATACAAAAAGTTACTAATGAGATATTTCTCATTCTTTATTCATTGTACATCTTTGAAATCTGGTTTTACCTTTTGATTTTGATGAGCTGTAACACAAGGTTCAGTAAGGCCCTCTGACTAGGAGCCACTGTGTTGGATGGCACAGGGTTAGATCATGTTTAAATGCTGATGAGGAGGGGTGAGCACTGGAGAGGGTAACACACAGGAGTGAGAGATGATAATGGGTTGAGTGAAGTGGTGGGGATTGGTGGGGTGTCTCTTCCATTCTAACAAATATAAAGAAAAAAAAATGTGCCTGGATATAGACAGTGTTATGCTGATACACGCTCACCAAAAACTTTTAAAGGCTCTAATTTCTATCATTTACCAGTCTCTGTGTTGTCAATATCTCCACCGGGGCCGAGTTCAACTGCTGATGCGGTGGCATTGCCTGGGGAGCTGGGGAGGGAGGAGCCCAGTCGGTGCTGCTGAACAGGTGGGAGCCAGCTCCAGCTCAGCCTGGATCTGAGACAGTTGCAAGATTCTGAGGGCAGGTGTCTTTCTAATGGCTTTTTCTCTTTGAAGTACTTGGTGGTTGAGAATAAGCAGGAGGTCATCTGACTGAATGTGGGATGGAGTGGGAACTGGGAAGATTTGGTAATGGTCCATGCAGATAGTAGGAGATTGAGAGGACATGATACGCTCAGTTACGTTCCTGTCAGGAAAGAGATGGACACTCAGACTGGGTAAGTGAAGTAAGCTTTAAAAAGGTTTAGGAAAAGAGACAAGGATCGCATGACCAGACGCAGTGGGGAGCCATTACCACTGGTAGCCTGGGGAGCAAGGGGAGAGGAAAGGTTCCCAGCATGCAGACAGGAAGCTGCAGGGAGAGGGCCACAGACCGGGACTGTAGATAACAGTGAAGCATGGGAGATGGATGCAGCTGACCTGCACAACCCAGCAAGGAGAGAGCTGGGGAATAAATATCTCCATTCCATCGTCCAGGCTCCAGGGACAGGCCTGGTACCCATTAATATAGACAGAAGCCTGCCTGTGTTTGTACAGTTTGTCTTATAGTGTTCAGAGAAATGGCTTCATCCTGGGTTGGGATTTCTTGAGAAGATGGGGGAAAATATAAAAATAAAACAGCTGTGTGGATTGGTCATGTCATTAGGCAGGTAGATAGATGTGACCAGGGCAGATGGTGGACATGGCTAGGCTATTCTGGATAGGTTTGGGTGACCTGGGCTATTATGGGAATGAGGCTGATTAAGACCTAGTTTGTGGGTTGTTTTCAAGACTTTGCACGTGGGTTGTTTGAGAACAGAGTTAATTAAGACTCTGGGAAACTTCCAAGAAGCAGCTGATTCTCCTCAAAGTTGTGTATATAACTCCAAACTGCATGTTCCCCGGGGCTTGAAATCACTAGGATGGGGCCTGGCTTGCTGTGCAAGTCATTAATAAACTTTATTGGAAAAACTTTTATTTGCTTTTTTCAATTACTTCAGCTACTGCCTCGAGACACTGTGCTGCTCTAACAATGTGGAAAAAGAGTTGATGGGTATGGGAAAGTGAAAACCAATTCTGGGAAGAGCCCTTCAAGGTACATGTTAACCCAGTGCTTCTCAACCTTCCTGATGCCGCAACGTATTTTCATTGTTAAAAGAAGGTCATGACCCACAGGTTGAGAACCGCTGTACCCCATGTTAGAGAGAAGGAAACTAAAACTCAAAGCATAATGCGGCTTGCCCAAGAGAGCAAATTTAGCTAGTGGCAGAGTCAGGAGACAGGTCTGCCTACCTGGAAAGCATTTTCCACCTTACCACGTCACTGCAAGCAAATGAACTGTTTGTTTTAACTGGCAGAGGAGACACATTTTAATGTTCACTTAAGCTTTTAGTTGAAGCTGAAGAAGCATTATTAGAATTTTCTATCTCCAATATAAAAACTCACGCACAATGAAAAAGCAAGGATTCACAGAGAACCCTTGGGCATTTTCTTCACTGGTGACTACTGCAAATGTGCCAGCTAAGACATAGAGGAGGAATATGCAAGAGTGTCTTTGTGAAACAGGAGGGGAATCAAGTCCTCAGGAGTGCTCTGTTCCCCCCCTTCCCAAGGCAGTAACTGACCGGGGACCTTCTTGCGTAGGCCCTGTGGTTTGGGTACAAATGGCAGAGAAAGTGTGCTTGGCGTCCCCCGAGTTTCGGGTACTTAGGCACAACCTGTTGGCATTCTCAGGGGCTTGGCACATGATGAGAGCTTAGGGGGAAATAAGAATCTTCTGGGGATCATGTTATCAAACAGGACACAGCCCAACAACAGGACAAGAGAGTGGCGCCCAGAAGCACTGGCAACAGCTGGGACAGCATTCCTGCACCATGACTTGGGCCTAATCTCTCTTGACCCATTTATGAAATTTCCTCATTTATAAAATCTGACCAATCTATAATGGGTGGTTGTAAGGATTAAATGAGACCATGAATACAAATCTCTTGGCACAAGTGAGCGCTCAGCAAGAGCTGATCCTCGCCCCTGTCCTGTCTGTCCCTGGTCTTTCTACTTAGATTTAACTATTTCTTTTATCCCAGAATTACCACTTTCTTCTGACGTTGGATTCCATTTCTCAGGAGACGAGAATGGTTTCCTACATCTTCCCAATCATGGTTACTGTAGTTTTGTTCTGTCTTTTTGGTCACTTTTGGAACTTGGTGACTCCAGGTGGCCATTCTGGGGAAACCACAGTATGTTGGACCAGCTCCCCCGCCTCCATCTTTGAATAAATACCAAAAGATTTACCTTTTACTCTCATTCTCGTCTGCCATCTGGTGCCTGGTTTGGCTGCATCTGTGTTTACTTAGTGACTTTAGGCGAAGGCCGAGTTTACACATGGGAAGGAGAGGGCACTGCTGATTTCTTCCATATGCCCCTCTATTCGTATGTTATGATTTTGGTGATCTCCCCAGCACAGAACCCTTAGACAACGCTTACACTGCTCCTCAGGGACCCATGTCTTTGTGTGTTCAGCTGGGAGATTCCGTAAGCACATGTTTTTTCAGTGACCATTACCATTAGTGTAGCTTTGAGATGGGTTCAAAATTAATGTTCTTGAAGGTTCTTCTTTTTGAATGGAGGGGGCTTATTTGACTTGACTAATTCAGAGCAAAGAGTCAGGAGACCTGGGTTCTGGGCCCGCCTCCCTCTTCATTTGTACGTGGTGTGAATTCGCACGAGTTCTATAACCGCCTGGCCCTGGGCTTGCTCCCTCACAGATCCAGGCTTGGCTGAGGGACGCTCTGGTCAGTAGGAGCTGCACATTGCCCCCTTCCCCTTTCTTTCCTCCTCTCGTGTGGTGCCGGGCTTCTGATTCACACAGACTGGTGTACAAGCGTTGTGTTTTCTCTCTTCTCAGCTCCCAGTACACTGTGTATGGGGGAAAGTTCAAGAAAGAAATCCCTTGTCCTGCACAATGCACAAATGAGAGAGAATAAACTCCAGCTCTCGGGTTTTTAAACATCATTTTTAATTTCTTTTTGTATGTTCACTTGAGACTCTGTTTACTGTGATGGCAGGAGCTCTGGAGCAGAGGCCTGGGTGTGAAACCTGCCTCTTATTTACTCCCCTGTGGCTCTGGGCTGGTTTCTTAATTTCACCCAGTTTGGTTTCCTTCTCTGTAGAACAGTAGTAACTGCTGCCTTGCAGGGATGGGGGGTGGATAAGTAATCATTGACTCCCTGCTCAGTGTGGTGCACAAGCCATGCTCACAGGTGCTGGTTACCCCCATGTACCTTGCCGATTCAGTGGTAAGAAGGCCACGGGCAAAGTGTGCCCTCAGACAGGCAGGCTGAAGACACTCAGAGACAGCACAGGATCACAGCAGAAAAGTGTGCCCTCAGACAGGCAGGCTGAAGACAC